CCCCTGGCCTGGGTGCTGGCTGGATTTAAGGATCCGGAGGGCCCTGAGCTATCCCTCTCACACTCCGGGCCTAGGTGCTGGTTGGAGTGAGGATCCAGAGAGCCCCTGGTGGTCCCACTCACATGCTGAGTCTGCACACTGGCTGGAATGAGAGTTCTATGGGTCCCAGGTGGTACCACTCAGTCCTATTAAATTTTTCAAAAAAAGAAAAAAAATTGCCACTTAGGGAAATACCAGGATCTATTGGATTCATCGGTAAATTCTACATAATTTTAGGGAAGACCTAGTGCCAGTTTTCCTTCAGTTCTTTAATGAGTCTAATAGTAAAGGAGAATTCCCAAAATAATTTCAAAAACAAGAAAATGACTCATCCAAAAAAAGAACTACATATCAACTTCTATACCATAATAGATGCAAAGATCCCCAACTAGGTACTGGCAATCAGAAAGCAGAAAATCATCAAAAAGCTAATATAACATGAAAAATATGCTTCATCCTAAATTTGGCAGGCTGATTTAACATATGCAAATCAACAAATGTAACACAGCACATAAACAAGAGCAAGAAAAAAGTCAGACGCTGATTTCAGTAGAATTACAAAAGCTTTTGACAAAATTTATCATCCATTCATGATAAAATTGCTGAAGAATAGGATTGTAAAAGATTCTTATGTCAACCACCTAAATGCTATTTATAACAAACTAGTACCCAACATCATATAAAAAGTTTAAAACCTAAAAGCACTGCCTTTAAAATCAGGAGCAAGATAAGTATGTTCACTATTACTACTCCTGTTCAATACAGTTCTCAAAATAGTATCTAAAGAAATCAGCAAAAAAAGAAAAATCAGTCAAGAGAAAAAAAGTGAAATAAGTGAAATGCATAAAAATGGAAGAAATGAAATTGTCACTGCCAAAAATACATTTCTTTATATAAAAAAATATTGAACCACTCCTAGAGTTATTGACATAATTCCATAGCAAAGCAGAGTACAAAAATCAACACACAAGAATCAATGGCATTCATGTATATTAATAATGCACACACAGAAATAGTGTAGTATCACTCACAATACTGTGAAGAGAGACTGAATATTCAGGAGTTAACCTTACCAAGGAAGTCAAAGACCTCTATAATGAAACTTACATTATAATTGATGATATCATAAAATGAAAATCCATCACCTGCCCTCTAATTGATAGAGTACATATTATCAAAATGAACATTTCTGAAACTGATAAAAAAGACTTAATGCAGTCCTAATCAAAATACTAACAGCATTCCTCACAGATCTAGAGAAAACTATCATAAAATTCATATGGAACAAGAAGTGACCCAGAATAACAAAAGCAATTTTGAAAAAGAACAAAGCAGGAGATATCACAGTCATAGACTTTAAGATATACTACAAAGCTAAAGCAATTTTTTAAAAGAGTATTTGGACACAAAAACAGACATGTGGGCCAAAGAAACAAAATACAGCATGCAGAGACATCACCAGGTACATTGAGCTATTGGATCTTTGACAAGTGGTGCTGGAAAACTGGCTATCTTCATAAGGAAATTTTTTTTCTTCTTTTTTTTCTGTATTTTAGGGAAGGGTTTACAGGGTGTTCAGGTTCTCACTACTAGATCAGGCTCGTAGCAATCCACCTGTTTACAGCCTCCCAAGAGCTGTGATTACAGGCACATTCCATCATGCTCAGTCTCAATTGCCATCTCTGTGCGCCCTAGGGTTGTGGCCAGTATGGCAGGCCCAGGGATCAAACCCCCACCTCCTGTGTCTGCTTGAAGTCTCATTAATCCATAATATGTTTCCTTCAGTCATCCTCGAAACTCACTGTTTTCTTCCAAACTATGGGCCCAAAATGTTGACACATATTTTACAACCACCTCAAAGAATTAGGCTACTGGCTGAAGTTATTTAGCAGTAGTAATGTGTATCTGTTCATTAATTTACTAAAAATACTTTCATTCATAAGAGAGACGAATCTCCCATATTTTTGGAGTATCTATTTTAGTGAAAGTGTTAATATGAAAATAAATCTGAGAATATCCTATAAGGAAAGAAACAGGAATCAAGAACTCTAAAAGATGTATATTAAAGTAGTAGGTATTTTGACTTCTCTGAAATTATGTCTGAATTAAGATTTTATGTAAGTAAAAACAGCTGGAAAGAGTATTTGAAGGAGAGGAGAAAATTTAGTCTTGTACATTACTTAAGAATTAAATGGGGGCAGGGGAGAAGGCTCAGTAGAATAAGCGCTGCCCTAGCAAGTAAGTGCAAGAGCCTGAGTTCAACCCCAGTTCTGAAAAGAAAAATTAAATGTCCCAATACTTTTGCTGAAGTCTCAAAACTTTACTTATATTTGATTTTAGATATTTACTTGCTTTATTTGCTCTCTTTGTTTGTTTTCCTGCAGTAGATTTTAACGGCACTTTTTCTATTCAAGGGCTAATGCCGCACTGAAAATACAAAGTCTAATAGATGGAATCTGGAAGTTTCCCCTGACCTTGATAGCTACTGATCCTGAAGTGGAGAAAATCATTAACATACAAGCAGTTGGTTTACAAAAGGAATCTATTACAGACTTTAAGTTGACAAGTTCGACAAGGTAATATATTAAAGTATTAACTAACTTTATGACTGATTTACACTGAACTCTAATGAAATTTAATATAGAAAACCCTCCAGGTCATCTTTTGTTATGTCAAAGTAGTACTGCTACTGAAGACTTCATAATTTTTATAGACTTCATAACTTTTTATTTAAAAATTGGAAAAGTAACCCAAAAGAGAAACAAAAAATAAGTAGACTTTGAAATGTAGCATGATATTGCTATTTGTTTTACAAAGAATGTTTTAATGTATTTTTTCAAAGATATATGGGTTGTTTTCTATCTCAGCTTCAATGGAGTTGAGTTGATGAATTGTTTACCTATATGGAGATGATTGGGTAGCCTATACTGAATTCTCCTGCAGTCACCTTTGTTCCCATGCCAAATTTCATACAATTACTGATTTACTTCTTTTATGTCTAAATGCTTGCCTTTTCTGGATATTTAGTATACATGAAGCCACACATTATAGTGTCTTTTGCAAGAATTTCTTGCAATAACTTTCTCTAAAGTTAAACAGTTTTGCTGAACTGAAAATACCTCTCAGTCTGCTCTATACATTTTGTCTAATTTTGGAGTCCTGAAGTGGTTTATTTTTCCACCTCTGTAAAATGTTATAACTACTTTCAGGAGAATGTATTTGCTCACCTCATCTTGTCAACTGGAAGAGGTTTCAATAATATTTTAAATGTAGCACAGTTGCATACGAATATGCCCTGATGTTGTATGTTTAATTTGATAAGATATGATTATAAGTACTTTAATATTCTTAGATACACATTTTGTTTAGGTCAGATCCATTCCTACTAAGGACTATGACTGTCCACTCAAGAAAGAGAGATAAGCTTTGATAGATAACAAAGTGTTTCCAGTTACTGAGGCATAGTGCTTCCCTATTTATCCTATACAAAACCTGAGAGATAAGAATATGAGAAAAGTGCTTAACTTATTGGTTCTTTTATTTCTAAAACTGTTAATTTAACTGTCTGTGATTCATGGTGACTAAGGCTTTGCACTGTATTTATCATAGAAATTAGATTTATAAAGGTACAAAGTGTACATTGATACACTTTACAAAAAAATGAATGCTTAATAGTTACATGTATAATAACTTGTTCTATTTGGATCCAAATGATGCAAGACTGCAGGTATGGTAACTACAAAATTGACCATCTTAACTTGATCCTTCTAGAGAATGAAATAGGGCTCAATTAATAATTAAGATAAACTGGTACATACATAAATATAACAAGCACTGGGGCTGGTGAGATGGCTCAGTGGTCTGAAGCACCTACTTGGAACAAGCTTAGCGAAAGCACAGGGACCACGGTTCAATCCCCCAGCACCACATGCCAGCCAGCCCCGCCCCCTGGTGGACTGAGCTGGCCATACACACACATACACATAAATAAATAAAATTTAAAAAAAAAATCTAAAAAAAATATATATATATAACAAGCACTTACTGTCAGTTATAGTCCATGTCAAGCTATTTTTGGTTTATGCAAACAGGAAGGTCAAGCATCAAATCATTTTTTATGTACTTAGTATAGGAAACTACTCCTTGGTGAGGTATTTATTTAGTACTTTGGAACATTTATTAATTGGATACATTGTATTTCACTGTTCAGCTTTGAAAATTCATTGCACATTCTTGATATCATACTCTTAACAGGATTTATGTAGTACCAGAGTTTGTAATCTAGATAATCACTTTTTCCTTCATAATTTTGTCCTTTCCAAAAAGTCTTTATCTGGAATTAAATCTCTAGGAATTTTTCCTCTGCTTGCTTTAAAATTTTAGAGTTTTATATTTCAACATTAAAACAATGATATATTTTTTTGAAACTGAAAACTTCTTTATTTAATCTTGTGAAGAATATCTTCAATTGATGTGACACAGTCAACACCAGACACCCCTGTGTCACCAAAAAGCTTCTCACCAAATGAAAGAAAGGTGTCCATCTATCCCCAGTCATGAGCAGTGTGTGCACATCACTAGTAGCTCCTGAGGTGTCTCGTCAAGGAAACTCCACACAGCCCTAGGGAGGGGTTGCTTTTCTTTTCCAAGATCTTTAGGTCACACAGCAGCCACAGCTACACATAGCATTCTGGTGCCAGTTCCTCTCTGCCTCTTCCTCTGTCATGGCTATCTTGACCTTTTGGATCTCATGGATCAGCAGGGAGAAAGCTTCTTCTACACTTTGCCCTGTCTTGGTTGAGGTCTCCACAAAGGGGACCCCTCCCATGTTTGGACGAGGACTGTAGCAGTGGCCTGTGCATCTCCAGCAGCAGTTACAAGGTCGCAATTTTTGCCCACCAGGACAAGAGTTTGGGTGTGGCAAGGGTTCCAGGTGATCCGCATCTACTGCAGCTGATCCAGAGATGAGAGAGCAGGAAGAGCAAAGACACCCAGTACCCCATTACCAGCTGCCAGGCACTGGTTGCGCAGGGCCTTGTGGATATCTTGCCCTGCTTTATCTAGCACATTCAGAATGTAGCCCAGAATGTAGCCCCCACTGTCCAGGGCTACCTCCTTCCAGTAGGAATCCTGGATGGTGGGGTAATGGTCCTCCACGAAGCACTGGTGGGTCATCTGAATGGTCAGTGCACTCTTGCCCACACCACTAGTGCTGACCACTGCTACCTTGTACTCAGACAATTTCTTGGCAACACCTTTACTGTATGTATAGTGAGGCCTCAGGCCTCTCCTCCGGGGAGCTGGGGCTCCAGATGCCCAGGTTCTTGGTGACATCACAAAGTGGCAGTGGCAGTTCCATGCCCCAAACAAGCAATTCAGGGTAGAGATATAAGCAGCAAAGTCTGAGCCGAGAGAGTAGCAGTACACTATGTATCGTGTAGTTTAGGACAAGGTTTTTTTTCAGTTTTTATTTTTATTGATACACATTTCCAACACATAATGATTACATTTCTTACATGTAATTGTCGATGCACATGACACATCTTGAATCTTTTTTGCAACCCCTTCTCCCATTTATGCCCACAACATGTAACAAAGATCTGGCTACTTCATCTTTTATTTGGCTCTTTGTTTATATGTTGGGGTTTTTTTAAATGAGAAATCATAGGATATTTAAGCTTATTTTTTGTTTATTTCACTTAACAATAGGGCTTGAAGGTATTGTGCTATAAAGAATGATAAATTGAAGTAATTTCTAAATGTATTGTTTTCACTGTGAATATCTAGCAATATTTTTTGAAAAGACTGCTTCCTCCATTAATTTTGCTACCTTTGTCAAAACTCAAGTGGATACATTTATGGGAATCTAATTATTGATTTTGTATTCTGTTCCATTCATACTCAGCTGATCCTCAAATACAATAACGTCCCTCACTTGAATACTCTTCGCAGAATTTTTTTAGCTTTTTTAGTACCATTCACTTTCTATATAAATTTTAAAATGAGCTTATTTAGTTTTATGAATTATCTAGTCTTATTCTGAAAAGGATGTATTAAGCCCATATTATTAAATTGCTCATATTTGCAATGTTTATTATGCTATTTACTATAGTACATGCTTCATAGTGTTTATTACACTATGGCATATAAAGCACATCTATTTATTTAGAATTTATGTAATTTCTTCCATGAGTATTTTATGATTTTCAGATTATAGATCTTACATTTGTTTTAGTATATTTATACATAAACATTCCATTTTTCTAGTAGATGAAATTCATTTCCTGATATTAAATTGCTAGTGTAAAGAGATTCAGTGGACACATTTGTGTTTACTTTGTATCTTCAGAATTTGTTAACCAGTTATTTGTTTTATAAGTACAATTTTTGAGTATCTTGACACTTTCTACATAGACAGTTGTTGTGGTTTGTGTCTAGATGATCTCCCAAAGACTCATGCAGTCATGGGGCAGGCTTCTACAATTTGGTATTAATTCATGATTCAATGCACGGATTATGGGTGTGAGTGCTACACTCACACTGGGGTGGAGAGCCTGTATACAATACAAAGGAGGGAAAGAGGATTGCTTGCTCTGAAAGCCTCCCTTTTGTTCTTGTTGCTTTTGCTATTTTATGATGTGATGAACTACTGTCCTCTTCCATGTGCTATTCTGCCTTGCAGCCAGCATAGTATGGACTGATCTAAATAAACCTTTCCTTCCTTAGTTCTGGGTTTTGGGTATTTTGTCCCACCTACAAGAGAAAAGGAACCAAGACAGAAGCCATGCTTCTATAAATAGGAGCAGCTGTATTTATTTATCTACAATCTGTATGCCTGTATTTTCTTTTATGCCTGTAGCACTGGCTAGGACTTTCAATGAGAGTGGTGAGAGTGGTTAGCCTTCTTTCATTTTTGAAAATAAAGGAAATGCTTTTCACTTTTCCATTTTCAAAATTTAGGTGGAAAGCATTCAGCTTGTTATCAATATACAGGATTGTAAATTTAGGATTTTTTTAAGATGATTTAATAAAATCAAAGAAGGTATTCTTCTCCATATTAGGTTTTCATAGCTATAATAAAAATATAAGCAAGTGAATAGTTTTTAATAAACAAGTTTATTGTTTTGTACTTCTAAGGAACAAAAGCCAGAAATCCAGGTTGGATAAACCACACTTCCTCTAAGGCTTTCAGGCAGAGTCTGATCAGTTCCTTTGTCTTCGCTTCTAGTTTTGCTGAAAATCCTTACAGTCTGGTGGCTTGTACACAAGTCAGTCCAGTTTTTTGCCTCTATCATCACTTGGATTTCTCCTTGAATATTACTGTCTCAGTCCCTCCACATGAAGATACAACTCTTATTTTTATGACTTAATTTGTATGACTAATTCAGAAAGGCTTCATCTTGACTCTATAGTGTCTGAAATTACAGTATTCAAATAAATTCATCTTTATGGGCACCATGGTTTAGGATTTGAGTATATCATTTGGAAAACACAATTCATATGATACCTATTCTGAATTTTCTGAGAGTCTTTATTGGGAATGATCTTTATTTTTGTCAAATGCCTATACCAGTTG